CTGGATCATGGGAGCCAATCAGGTCCTTTGTGACTATCGGCATGATTAGCATCCATATATTCAAGGTTGCAACTCTAAGGTTCTCTACAAAGGCAAAAATTAACATTTATTTTAATTCTCAATCTCTTAGAAGCTGCTTTTCTAAGTTATTTCTGGATCAACTGAAACTAAAGTGTTTCTAGGAATATTTATTAATATATTATAGAGCTAGATACACATATACACTGAGTGGCCAGATTAATGTGATCTCTTAACATGTAATAATCTGGCCACTCAGTGTATTTGTATCTCAAATGGGTACCAAAAGTATTCTAGACTTATGCTGGAGATCAACCACCTATTTGCCCTGAGCTTTCTATCAGCCAGTGCAAAGGGGAATACTGATCAGGTGCACAATTTACAGTATTTTTTTATATAAAATAAATGAGGTACTCAAGAGAAGTACACTGAATGGCCAGATTATTATGCATTCAGAGATCATAATAATCTGGCCACTTAGTGTAGACATATCTGTGTGTGTTTCTTCTCTGATTTCATTATATTAGACAATTATATTTTAATCATAATGCATGTTATTTAAAATAAAATTATTGTAATGCCTGAAAAGTAATAAGCACATGGTATAATGTACATTATATTTGTCTATCTTTATAACTAAATATACAATAGATTGAATATAACTAGTTCATAACCAAATGGAGGAAAAATAAACATGACTATTGTATTTTTAAAAAATGTTTTGAATGGCTTTGAGTAACAATGTAAAGAATAGAAGCATATTCTCTTTCAGAAAGCACTTTGGAAGATAGATCAACCTGATTAATTCCTTAAACATGGAAGAAATAATTTTTTAAAGAAAAATCTCATTTTTCTGTGTATAGCATACTCACAAAAAGAAAAAAGTTCATCTGAACAGCAAAGCAACAGTTTATAGCTTTATACAAATTCCAAAGTATCACAGAATAGAAATTTAACAATAAACAGAGAAATGGTTGTATTACATAAGGATTTTACCTAGGGGGGAAAAAAGACATTATCAAGTCCAATCAATAAATTTATTTGTAATACCTGTATAATGTCAAATATATTCCAATTGCTTGAGACAGGGTCATTCTAAAATAGTCTGCACTATTGCCCTCTTAACTCTACGATTTGGGGAATTCTGAAAAACTACTGAGCAGCATATCCTCTGATGTAATAATTATATTAAAGTACCTTTGGCCAAAATAATTGCATTTAACCACTTGTTTCTTTCCTTTATTCATTTGATATTTAGAATTTCCATTGGTTATTCTGTCATTTAAGGTCTTTGCCCACATTTTATGTGAACTGGAAGCTGCAAGAGACCTATATATGATTTCCCAGGCATAGAAACTAAAGCCATTTGAGGCATTCACCAAGCCCTACATCTTGCCTCATTTCAGACCTAATGATAGCATGCAAGCTCCTTCCCTGTAATATAAGGTCACTGGAAGTCCACAAACCTTTGGAGGGTGGGGAGTGAGATAAATGAAATAAATTTTATCTGGTTTAAATTCAGAGCTGCCTGAGCAGAAGCAAGAACTTAAATTCCAACATAAGATTAATATTTGACATCTCACAAATCCCCCTAAAGAGAAAACATTTCATTCACACCAGCCTCCACTCCAGTTATCCATATATGCTCACAGTATTTATGGAACCAGATTTTGTTGGTGTCTAAATCAGACATTTGCTGGAAAACATTAACACAAGAGACTACCTAATTCCACAAGTCTCAGATTTTTTTTTCCGTTTATTTATTTATAAAGCAGAAAGGAAAATACAAAATTACAAACAAATAGAAAAGAATACCAACAAAAAAATGGAAACATCAAATTAAAAAAATTATAAATTTTACAATCAATTATAAAGATTACAAAAAATATATATTTTTTATTTCTATACACAATAAAAAATATAAAAAAGTCAGATATTTTTAAAAAATATATTTTATTGATTTTTTTACAGAGAGGAAGAGAGAAGGATAGAGAGTGAGAAACATCTATGAGAAAGAATCATAGATCAACCGCCTCTTGTACACCCCCAACTGAGGATGTGCCGGCAACCATAGTTACATGCCCTTGACCGGAATTGAACCTGAAACCCTTCAATCCACAGGCCAAAGCTCTATCCACTGAGCCAAACCAGTTTTGGCACCTCTCAGATATTTAATCAGGCTGGAATTTGGGCACTAGAGAACCAAAGTCTACTGATGGGAGGCAAATGAGGAGGAGGAATAAGGGAGAATAGAAGGAAGGAGGCACATTGCATTTAAGAGCTACATTCCCTTTGGATGCCTTACATGTGTTACTTGATTCTATTGTACAGATTTATTAGTGGCCCAATGCACGAAATTTGTGCAAGGGGCTTGGCCCTCGCAGCCCTGGCTGCCCTGGCTGGCCCTCACAGCCCCGGCTGCATCCGGAAGGTCATAGGGACAGTTGTTCTGCTGTTTGGTCTGATTAGCATATTAGCTCTTTATTACATAGGATGCCTCTCTCATTTTCTGTTAGTTAATGAAAACTCTATTTTTTTTTTCACTAGCTGCAAGATGCAAGGTTTATAATTTTTCTCTTACTCATAGGATTTTGGGGAATCTTTTTGTATTATACTTATTAGAATGGGACTTAGAGGTCATCTACCGTGTTTCCCCGAAAATAAGACATCCTCCGAAAATAAGACCTACTTACAGGTTTCCTTCTGAGTGAAATATAAGGCATACTCCCAAAAATAAAGCCCCCCTAGGCTCTGTCTCAGAATGCTATTGCTAAACATGAGAGATTTGGTGCACTGATTCTGAAAGAAATGGGGTCACAAGAAATTCACCAGGAAATTCAGGAATTGGATTGTTATGATGATATTCCAGAAGATGATGACATTATTGTCATTGAATAAATGAGTAAATTCTTGATACTGTAGGATTCACAGTTTGTCTGGTTTGTGTTGACAACTACAGTACTACTGTACTGTATACAGGTAATAAATTTCCTTTATTTTCATTTAACAATAAATGTGTACCGTATTCTTCTTCATGGAAAAGTAAGACATCCCCTGAAAATAAGACCTAGCGCATCTTTGGAAACAAAAATTAATATAAGACACTGTCTTATTTTCGGAGAAACAGGGTAGCACAAGATTAGATATAGATATAGATATAGATATAGATATAGATATAGATATAGATATAAAATAGATGTGTGTGTGTGTGTGTGTGTGTGTGTGTGTGTGTGTGTGTGTGTTTTAAGTAATGAGAATGAAACCTAGAGGGAGAATTGGCTCTGCAAATGCAGAGGAACTAGTCAGTGGTACTGGCAGCCCCAAACTGAGGTTTTTTGACGCTCATACAAGGCTTCTTGGAGAGGCATGTTCTCATAAGCATGATTAGCTTTGCTCAGTCACTTCTTCTGTCCCTCACTGCTCCTAGCAACACAATCTGCTTGCTCTAAATGTGATTGAAACAGAGAAAATTATATCTCAAATCAGTGTATTAAGTAAAATCTATGTGCAAAGGATTCGAAGCACCCATGTGATTCATAATAAAAATTCTCTAGGAATTCTAAGTGTTTTTATTTAAATGGGATTATTATAACATAGGCAGTGGTGGCTTTTGATAGGCATAAAAACCAATAAGGCATTGCTATCTAATAAGAATAATCCTCATTAGATGCTCCTGAGCATTTGATTAAAGACATCAGTTTAACAATTCTGTCTGTCCTACAGGAACTTTTTATTTCTATTAGATTGTTTCCATAACCATGAACACACACTACTAAGATTTTAACAATAAAGCTTTCAGCCAAAACCGGTTTGGCTCAGTGGTAGAGCATCAGTCAGTCTGCAGACTGAAAGGTCCCGGGTTCGATTCAGGTCAAGGGCATGTACATTGGTTGCGGGCATATCCCCGGTAGGGGGTGTGCAAGAGGCAGCTGGTCGATGTTTCTCTCACATCCACATTTCTAGCTCTCTATCCCTCTCTTCTCCTCTCTGTAAAAAATCAATAAAATATATATTTTTTTAAAAAACAATAAAGCTTTCATTGACCCCATTTTCTCTGCCATCTTCCCCCTCCCCATTTCTTGACTTCTTTCTGAAATAAAATTCCTGAAATTATTGTTTGTACTCTTTTCTGCCATTTATTTTCTCATTTTCTATCTTAAAACTGCCCCAGTCAGGCTTTCACCCTATCACTCCATCAAAACTTGTCGATGTCACCAGTGCTGTCTAAATTGCTATGTCCAGTCTCTTATCAGTAGCAATGACAGGGTTGACCACTTATTCTTCCTGATACTTTCTTTCCCTTTCACTGTTTCTCCTCTGCCGTTGCCTTCACTTGTTTCTCGTCTTCTGAAATGTTCATGTTGAAGTGCTCTGAGCTCGGTCATTCCTTCTCTTCTCTTTTATGCTCGGACGCACTCCCCTGTGCTCTCCCCCAGGCTCAATTCATTAAAGTACCTTCTTTAGGAGTGTCCCACGTGTATATTTTTAAGCCAGATCTCTCTTATGAACTCCAGACTTACGTATCCAACTGCCTACTTGCCTTATCCATTTGGCTATTTAAAAGCCATCTCAAAGGCCACATGTCCTAAAACTATGTCCCTCACTTTCTAATCTTCTCCATTCTCCTCTTCAAACGATAGCAATTCTATCTAGCCATTAAACTAAAAACCTTTAAGTCATTCTTAGTTTCTTTCTTTATCTATCTCATACGTCACAGCTAAACATAACAGAAATGTTCTTAGCTCTACCTTCTATATATATATATGTGTGTGTGTGTGTGTGTGTGTATACATATATATATGTGTATATATATACATATACATTATATATATATATATATATATATATATATATATGTATATTCAGAATCCAATTCTTACTCCTAAAACCCTAGTCCATTGTATTTCTAACCTGAATTTCAGCAATAGCCTCTCACTAGGTCTGTCTACTTTTATTCTTACTCCTTTACAATCATCCTACCTAATAAAAGAGTAATATGTAAATTAACTATCACTCTGCAACAAAGATGGCAATGCCCATAGTTGCCAGGGCGGGACACTGGTGGCATTGCCCTGGCAATGTGAGCCCAGCACCCAGCTGCATGGAGACAGGGGAAGGGAGGGGCCTTGGTCCAGAAGCAGAAGCCAAGGGTGTGGGGAGCACCAGGAATGCTGGAAATTGTCGTTCTGGTGGTGGACACACTGTGCGATCTCCTAGAAACTTGAGCGAAGAGAGCCTGGAGCAAGTTACTGTCGCTGGTGGGGGATGGAGGGAAAGCAAAGGTGAGAAACATAAGTCAGAGTGTTGAGGAAAAATTAAAATGAAGATATCCTTCAACTTCTAGGACATCTCCACCAAGGAAGAAAAGTGAAAAAAGAAAAGAAAAAGAAAAAAAAAAAAAGAAAAAGAAAGAAAGCTATATTATTCTGTGAGCACCAAACCAGACTGGGCTGAAGTCTCACACAATTTGCTCATATGATTGCAAAGACAGACAGAAACCTCACTCTTTAGTGTACCCAGGCAGATACAATGCATGACATGCACATTTTCATGGAAGGGGACTTAACAGCACCGTTTGCTATCCACCCTTTGGGAAGTCACCTTTTTGGTGGCCATCTGTGTTAGTTAATTGCCATAATAAGAGTAAAAATTAAAACTTTTCTATCTCTAGGACAAGCAGGTTCTTAGAGCTTGGAGCAAGGCAACTATCTATAATAATAAAAGTGTAATATGAGGGGCAATGAGGCAGGCAGTCAGAGGTAGTGAGGGGCGATCAGGCAGGCAGAGTGGTTAGGGGTGATCAGGCAGGCATGCAGAGGCAGTTAGAGGTGATTAGGCTGGCAGACAAGGGGTTAGGGGCAATGAGGCAGGCAAGCAGAGGGCTAGCAGCAACCAAGCAGACCAGCAGGCAAGTTGTTAGGAGCCAGTGATCCCAGATTGTTAGAGGGTGCAAGCAGGGCTGAAGGACCGCCCCCTCCCACCGTGCATGAATTTCATGCACCGGGCTTCTAGTTCTTAATAAAATAGCCAGAAAAGTTCTTCTAAAACTTAAATCATATATATCATTTTTGTGCAATGGTGCCCCATTTGATCCAGACTCTACAATGACACCATAATGTATAGCTATTGATAGTTCCTCATTGCCTCTTGACCTCACCTCTTTATTTTCTTCCTCCTTCCACTGCAGTCACGTGCTCCTCCTCACTGTGTTCTGAATTGCCAAGGATCTTGCATTAGGACCATTTCACTTGTTCCTTCTCCCTGAATTCTTTCTCCCCTAGATATCTTCACAAATAACTTTCTCACTTCCTTTATGTCCTTACACAAACCTCCTCTTCTCAATGATGAACACCTTTTATATCCTATTTACTTACTCCATCCCTGACGCTGAATTCTTCTTACCCTAATTTCTTTGATTTTTTGACTGTTATTTCATAGCACTTTTCATCTCTTAGTATATTAGATGGGTTTATTTATTGATTATATATACCCTGTTTCCTCGAAAATAAGACAATGTCTTGTATTAATTTTTGCTCCCAAAGATGTGCTAGGTCTTATTTTCAGGGGATGTCTTATCTTTCCATGCGCTAGGTCTTATTTTTGGAGGATGTCTTATTTTCGGGGAAACACGGTATCATTTATCTCTTTCTTTTTATTAGAATGCTGGAGGCCCACTGTGAGAAATTCTGCACAGGTACAGTCCCTAGGCCTGGCCTTTGATCAGGGCCACCTTCCCCAGCTGCTGGCAGCTGGATCTGCCCTCTACTACCACCCACCCCCGGTTCCCTGTTCACCATTGGGTGATCAGAGCCTCCTGGACCGGGGGAGGAATGGAGAGATTGGCAAGCAGGCCCTAATCAATTGGGTCAGGAGCTGCTTCTACATTAAGTGCCTGCCCCTGCTGGCCAGTGCACATTATAGCAATCGGTCGTTCTGCCATTTGGTTGATTTGCATATTATCCTTCTTTATATAAGTTCCATAAGAACAGGAATTTTTTAAAATTCATTGGAAAAATTAATAAGTTTTAGAGTATATTTTAATATTGTAAGACTTTATTAGTGTATAGCCTCTGTTATAATGCTAAATTATACATAGAGATAGTATGAGAATCATGACAGCTGCAAAAGAAGTAAAATCTTCCCTTTCATTGAGGTGCGCCTTAGTAAGAAATTGCAATTTGTGTGTGTGTGTTTGTGTGTGTGTGTGTGTGTGTGTGTGTGTGTGTGTGTGTGTGTGTGTGATAGATAGAATTTTTTGTTGCTGTTGTTACTCCTCACCCAAGGATATTTTTCCCATTGATTTTTAGAGAGAATGGAAGGGAGGGGGAGAGACAAAGAGAGAGAAACATGAATGTGAGAGACACATCAGTTGGTTGCCTCCTGCAATGTGTAGGATAGAGCCTGCAAGACAGGTACATATGTATTCTTGAACAGAATTAAACTCAGGACCCTTCAGTCTGTGGGCTGACGCTCTATCCACTAAGCCAGATTGGCCAGTGCGATAAATTCTAAAATGTCCCTCAAGATCCATCCTCCCATACACAAGCTGTTCAATTCCAGAACTTGTGAATTTGATGGGAGAATCACTCATATAGACTATGTTGTATAGCACAACTGACATTAATGAGGAGAAACTGTTATAGTGAGGCTGATCTATAAATAGCCCTGTGAACCTATGCAAGTTTCTTAAAAGGAGCCAGGCACTTGCTAACAACAACAAAACATCTTGGCCCCTGGTCTGTGTATCTAAATGGTGAGATCATCTGCCTGCACACTGAAGCGTTGAGGGTTTGATATCTAGTCCAGGGCATATCGCTGGGTTGCAGGTTTGATCTCCAGCCACTACCCATGACACATGGGAGAGGCAAATAATCAATGTGTCTCTCTCACATTGGTGAGAGATTAGCAACAATGACAAAAAGGAACTCTTCCTCAAAATGAGGGATGATATGTGAGGGTGAATGGTTTTTATAAAAGGGGAGTCTCTATTGATAGTTTTTTATATGGAGGGGGCCAGGCGGCAAGGAACTAGAATCTGAGAGCAATACCTTAGCCAAAAAACAGCAGAAAAGATAGATCCGAGTCCTACCACTGCAGGAACTGAATTCTGGCTTCCAGATGAAAGGCAGTTCAGCGCACACCTTGATTCTGACTACAGAATTGAGAGCTCACAAATGGGTACTGTTTTAAGCTGCTAACTTTCTGGTAATATATTACACAGCAATAGACCCTTAATGTTTTTCATACTGTTGTTTTGTTTTGTTTCTGCTTTTTATTCCCCATCCTTACTTTTAAATTGCAAATCACTTGGTGCTCATGTCTTAACCTGGAAGAACTTTCAGAAGCAAAAATACTTTTAAAATCATGGAAAGAAGGTTAAAACAAACAAGTAAAAATCCCGTGAAAAGGGGCTGCAAAATAAATTGAAGCAGGGTTTAAGGACCACATGTTTTAGAGTGCTTGACATTGTAACATATAGAAATGGACTGTAGCTCCAGCACTTCCAATAATTACTCTGACTATATGCAAAGCATTTAACCTACCTTTACTTTATTTTTCTGATTCACTAAATTAACTGTAAGATTTATTTCTGCTGTAAAATTCTATGATTCAATAATTTTGTGTGTCTAAGATAATCTTTGATTCTCTATATTCGCATAGCAATATAATATTTTAATACAATTTTAATATGACATTATGTGTGTGAAATATTACTTTATGAGTTTGGTGACAGACATTAAAATACACTGGCAGTTTGTAACTTATAAATTGAATCAATATGCTATAAATATATCAATAGGAATTAGATGTCAAATAAAGTTTTAGAATTTCAATGAAAGCTTTTTCTCTAAGCCTGAACTTCTCTAGAGAAAATTTAATGGCATTGTTTTGGCCACCAGAGGGCTCCCACGTGATTTATCCTTGCATTAAATTTTGAAGAATTGGGAGATTCTTAATATATTAATTAGGGATACAATAACATATCAGAAGGCAGTATAGATAAAAATTGGCATTTATTTTTATGAATATTAGAATTATAACAAATTTCTTATTTTGTAAAAAAAAAACATTTTGTGTAAAATCATTGAGTGAAGACATATCATAAAGCAACAGAGAATTGCTTCTACCCTTTATATGCATGACTCCTTCTAAATCCCTTTCCTACAAATTTAAACAGAGATTCCTCTCCTGGACTTTTACAGTTATTAAAACACTGAAAAATCAAGATATTTCTATAACTTTGATAGACTAATATAAAATACTAGCGGTCCAGTCCATGAATTCATGCACAGGTGGGGTTCGGCCAGCCTGCCCTGATTGGGGCTGAGTGAGCCAGGCCATCTGGGGGGAGGGGATGCTGGAGGTGGGTTGGCTGGCCCTGCCCCTGATCAGGATGAGGGGGAGGGTGGTGACTGAGAGTAGGGCCTCTGGCAGCTGGCCGTTGTTGTTGGGGGGAGTGCAGCCAGGAGGAAGGGCTGTAGGCAGTTAGCTGGCCTGCCCTACCCTCTGCTCAAACTCCTAGTTGAACTCCCCCTGGTTGAGGACACAATTTGCAAAGTAGGTTTTTATTATATAGGATAGGCATTTATAGTAATTATTAACCCACAATGCTCATAAGAAAGTCCCCACATTTAAATTTGGAATATTATTCCAAGTTGGTTATATATTTTTTCTAACTGTATTAGAAACCTACTGAGATTAACAAATAAAAACTAACCAGCCATTTTGAGTGAAAGAAGCAGAGTAAAGAATATGTCTCCTGACAGATTCCAGAAATTGAATACAGAACTTCATGAAAACAAATGAGGTCCTTTTTGTTTGTTTGTTTGTTTGTTTTAATTGCAGGAGAAAGTTTTATCAAATGTGATTTACGTATGAATATAGATTTTTAGGGAAATGTAATGGATAACCTCAAATTTGAGGTATCTCTTTGATCAATTCAGAGAGACATAAAATGTCACTTACTCATGTATTGGCTTTTATCTTAAATTTTAGCACACCTCAGAAAATTGGAATTTAGCTTGACTAAATTCTTAACCGATTAGGTTTCTTTTCAATAATATCTCTCTCTTAGGGTACTAGTAGCTGAAGCAGCTGTGCTCTGTTTCTTGGTAGCAGAGGGCTTCCTGTGTACATCTGTGTGTGAGTGTCTGTGTGTGTTTCTGTCTGTGTGTGTCTGGGTATAGTGGTATAGTTGTGTCTCTGTGTGTGTATGTTAACCATAGAAAGCAAGAAATATTTTGAAAGCTATAGGGAGAGCAGTTTCTGCATTTATGATGCTAACTATTCTTGACCATAAACATTTCATAAGATAGGGAAATGATTTATGAAAATCTTTACATAGGTAAAAATAAAACATTCCATTTATATTTTCAGAAAAGTGATAAAACAAAATATTTTATAATCAAAGAATCACTTTTTTTTTTTGCCTGCATAGAACATCACGTTATAATATTAATCACCCTTAATAAATGTTTATATCACCAGATTGGCAAAATTTAGGGTTTGAGTAATTCCTGGGGCAAGACTTTTCAGATGCTGTTGCGAGTGTTTATGGAATTTAAGTGATGTCACAGCTTTGGAGGAGATTTTCAAAATGCCATATTTTAAGAGGTTCATATTATTGATTTAAAAATCCTACTGCTAGCAATATACCTTAAGAATTTTCAGAAACTACCCAAGTAATGTATAAGTAATTTTTGAAAAAAACCATTTGGATTTATAAGCTATTAAAACAACCTAAGTTTTCAACAGTAGAGAGCCAGTTAGATAAATCATTTTACATCTATACTGTGGGATACTATGCAGCTGTTAAAAAGTGAGAGTGCACTGCATGTGCTCACAGGGGAAGATATATTACTATGTGAGGGACAAAAATATAGGTACTAAAAATGTATACAATGGGCAGCATAGTCACTTTTGTATAAATAGATAAAAGAATATATGAGCTATTTATGCGTTTTTCTAAAATTACCTCATAAGAAACACTTGACAAAGGAGGGAAAAGATGGAAAGATGAGTTTTACTTTTTACTTCACATTATGGCTTACATTTTAAGAGCATACATTAGGTTTTTCATTGTTTGAATGATTGTTTTAGTTGCTTTTATTTTATTATCAAATATTATCTTGTCAGTAGGATTATTGCATAGTTTATTTTTTGTGTGTAATAGCATTCTTATATGAATAATATGGCTCTTATTTTTTGAGCTTTAATTATATACCAGACTAACTTATTTAATCATAGCTCATTGATAGATATAGAAAGGGAGTCACGGAGGTGAACCAAGTATCCCAAAGTGGTAAGTGGAGCCATACCATGAACCCATCTGAACAGCTTCACAGCCTAACCTCACAGTCTGTCGCCTATATATGCATTAGAATACATTTTGGAAATGTTAGCAGCTCACAAGTCCTTTCTAAATTGAAAAGAGAAAATAAAACCAACTCTTCAGTGCCCTTTATCATCCATCCAACATGTGTCTTTTCAAGAGCTTGCTCCATGATTGGTTTTTGCAATGTTCCTAGGCTTTGTATTTTGCTTCCCTGATTGATAATGCCTCCCATAAGATTCACCTGAGCACCTTACAGGAGAGGAGGTTCATTTAGTGTGTCCTTTGGTACTAGAGAACTAGAATACATGGGATGCATAGTTATTATTATGTTTCCGAAGAACCTTCATCTGTTGCTCTTTTTCTTTCTAAAAAAAAACAAACAAAAAAAAACACACAAAACAAAACGAAAAACCTCAACAAATGTTTATTAATCATTTTGAATTCTTCCAGTGCATGTGCCCTTGTAGGCAGTACTGTATTTGGTTTACCTTTCTTTCCTCTCTACATATTTAATTTTCTACAGGATAATTTCAGTTCTCTCTGCAAGCTTGCAATGAAATGAGGTACAACTCAAATCTGTACAATTGCTGCTTGTTGATGGGAGATAATGAGAGAACCGATTGAGGGATGCCTGGAAATTGTCAACAAATGTCCATGTAATCCCATCTCCCATGCCAAAGGTAACTGAGAATTGACTTTAGGATATCAGTTGTCCTGTGAGCTTTCACAGAAATGATTTTGCAATCTTAAAAAAATTGCTCAGAGCATTGAAATGGAAAGATCATCAGAGTTCATTTTTAATGACAGCTTGGACACTCTCAGTTAAAAAAACAAAATTTTAAAAGGTTGAGATTGGTTGACCCAGTCACCTAAAAGATATTTTCCCTTTGTTATTTTAATATGACATTTATTGATGTTTAAGCTTATGATTTCTGCTCAATTTAGATGACATTATAGTGGGTTGTATTTTTTTTTTTAATTCCCTTTCAAGCCTGGTGTTTTCAGCTTTATAATCAAAATAAAAGTCATAATCAGAGTGAAGCACTGAACAGGTGCCTTTCTGGTGTCTCACTGAGGAAAATGTATGAACATTTTTATCACCAAAGGTATTTATGATCAATTTATATTAGTAAAAGGCTGCCCATTTGCATCTAAGCTTTCTAATTGTCCGAAGATCAGAATATCTAAGACTCCAGTCTAAGTTTTATTACCAAAACAAGAGATGTTTGTCAGGGGTTCTCATAAGAATGGCTTATGTGTTTCATGATGACACTAGAGGCCCCGGTGCACAAAGATTCCTGCAAGAATGGGCCTTCTTTCCCCTGGTTGCCAGCACCGCCTTTGCTCTGGCCCAGAGCTGCCTTTCTGTCTTCTCATGCTGCCTAGAGGCCCGGAAGGTCTGGAGTAGTACAGAATGCCTGATGCCACAAGTGTCCCATCCCCAGCCACTCAGAGCCTGTGTATGCAAATTAACCCTCCATCTTCGTTGGGTTAATTTGCATACTCACTCCTGAGTGGCTGGTGGGTGTTGCAAAGGTACAGTCAACTTACATCTTTCTCTTTTATTAGTGTAGATGATCCATGGAAGCATCTTTACAATGATTCCTAATGAGTATAATATGGCTAATTTTTGTATTTAATATAAGCCTATATTTTGGGGGATCATGTTTCTTCATTTGTGATGATGGTTGTAGTTGGCAGCTTTCATTAGATTATTTCTTCATATTTTATTGTACCTTTGACAGTTTTTAAATTTAAAAAAGATAACATGCATTTATCCTCTTATCTGGCCAACTCTGGTTTACTAACTCCCATCATTGAAATATCTCCAAAATCAGGAGTGCTAGCACCTCAGAAAACACAGCTGTGGTTTGCTTCCCAATGAGATTCTAAAAGCCCTTTTCCATAATGACCTGTCCTAGAACTATGGCAGACTTACTGCAAGGAGGAATTTGGGTATTTACAATTAATACAGAATTCACAACCATTCAGCTGCTTAGCTCCTGGGCCCCTTTTTATCTGTACCTTCTTATGGGGTTGTGGGACTGAAAGGAGCTTCCTGAGGAAGGAATTGCAAGAAATAAGGTAACACCTATATTGATCTTGGGTAGCCCAGACCTCAGGACATCCTTACAGCTTAAATGTTGAACACATGCAATGCTGCCATTTCAATTTTCTATGATTGTGAAATGGCTTTCTTCAGTGTGCTGAGTATGGACAGAAGAAATGCTAAGTCACCTCCAAAGGTGATCAAACATATTGGTAATAAATGTGTCACAGAGAAGTATGCTATGGGGTATGGTATAAACAAATTGACCTAGAGATCAGGAAAGGGAAAGGTCATTACCACTGGAAGTGATGAGTATAGACTCCATGAAAGAAAAGCAAATTGAACAGAGCTCTGGAGCAGTGATTCTCAAATTTTAGTATGAAAAATTAATAAATAAAAATAATTGAATTAGAAAAAAAAAATTATAACTTCAGGACTCGAACTGCAGAAAATTCAATTCACTATGCCTGCTAGGAGGTTCCAAATTCACAAATATAAATGAGTTAGACGAAACTTCTATTTTATTCTAACAGTGGCAGCTGCCTTGTTGGGAGACAAGAGAACTTATCTTAAAGCTTGTCTGGAATATTCCCTGTGTAGACTAAAAAAAATCATCTTATGTTCCATGTCCAAGATGAGGGATGAGAGTAAGGTAGCTCATAGTCTGATAGTGCTTTGCCAAAAAAGGGGTAAGCTAGCGTTTGATACTTCTTGTTATTCTATGTTAAGAATTGCCTTGCCATTCTATATTAAGGTGTTCAGAATTTAACAGATGGCTGGGTGTTCATTAAGTAAATGATTTCAGCAGAGGAGTGATATAATCCTATCTGTGTCTAGGAACATTTTGTTTTTTCTTAAGTGTGTTTTTATCCCTGTTGATATATTGATTTTTTCAGAATGGTGTCCTTTTTCTCAAGGTTACTGTGATGCCTCCACTGTCCTAGTGATTGGCTACAAAGTATAGACAGTAAATCTGACAAGTCACTGATCATCTCAGCAGCCACTTTCTGTCAAAATCGGTTTAGCCAACCGACTTGATTAAAGTTTAGGGAGACCCAAATCTCCATTGGTTATTGGAAGAAGGGAAGGTATACACAGGTTCTTAGGTTATAAAGGAACCTTCAGCCCTAGCTGGTTTGACTTAGTAGATAGAGTGTCAGCCTGTGGACTGAAGGATCCCAGGTTCGATTTGGTCAAGGGCACATGCCTGGGTAGCAGGCTTGATCCCCAGTGGGGGGTGGGGGGGAGGCATGCAGGAGGCAGTCAATCAGTGATTCTCTCTTATCATTCATATTTCTATCTCTCTCTTCCTCTCTGAAATTAATAAAAATATATTTTAAAAAAATAATACATTTTTTTAAAAGGAGCCTTCGTGACAAAAGCACCTTAATTAGGATAAGTGCTGATCTTTAGCACTAATACAGACCACACCAATGTCCATTACACAGTGTTCAAGAGAGGCCATGTAAAGCACCAGAGGTATCAGAGATTAAATTATACGAATCATCCTTTAATCCAGAAAATGCTGGAATATTTACTTGCTAGGCTTCTACCTTGGTCAAGCTCTTAATAACAAGGCCCAATATGCAGTGTGCCCGAAGAGAAGGAAACAGGTGCTTTTGCCATTTCAAATGCCAATTAAGGGAGTTATTTTTGCCCACAGTACTTGTTCACCCTCCCCGCATACTAACACACTCCTTCAGTCAGCAAGTCCTTTATTCGTAACATTACAATTTTACTTAAGAGATAATGTCAAGGGATTGAACATTGTGACTGGATAATGGTCTCTTGCTACAAGAAAAACGCGTAGGCATTTATTGAAAATAAATGTTGGAGGGAAGCCAAGGCGTTTATTTCTAAAGTAGGAAACTATTTTCTAGTCACAACTTTCAATGCCAGAGACGTTATAACTATCTCACCAGATGACTTTTTAAGTAAATTCAGATCACCCCAAAGGAGCAACAGAATACTTTATTTGTTCTCACCTGTATAACGAGTAACATTCTTGTTTCCTTTCTATAGATACCAAAACAAGTTCGAATATGCTATATTTGTTTGGTGGAGAACATTGAATAAGTGCATTAACAACATATTCAATCAACTCTCTAGCTTGATTATGTAAACTTGATTTTTTGCTTTTTTAAACCAAGCAGATATGAATATGCATGCTGAAAGAGAATTAAAGAGGTTTTTGTGATGTATTATTGAAATTCTTTTGCCACTGTACAGGCAGGAATGGTTCCTGATATCCTTCTATGTGTCTGACAGGCATGTGAGTAGTAACTTAGGGAGTTTCAGTAGCAATGCTAGTGAGTTGGGATCCAAGGTTGTGATGATGTTGATTCTGCCAGTCATTGTGGAGTGCCTGCACAGAGAGAGAGAGAACTGATTTCAACAAACACTACTCACACCTCTCTCAATGTCTGGAACTCAAAAGAACACCATGTAACCTCACTAGTTAGTAATGAAATTCAAATGCACCATGAGTCACATCCTCACCCTCTTCCCTAATACCTGATGCTATATATTTAACGAACAGTCACTTTCTTCTAGCGATATAAAGTGACTCCATAGATAGTGCCTGGTTGTTGTTTCCCCCCCACCCCCCTTGCCATTCTCTGTAATAGTAAAGAAAAAAATGAAAATTTATAGCTGAAACAGGCTTAACAGAAATACAATATTTTTATCAATGTGAACAATAAGGGCCACTCAGTAAATGGTTTTACTCTAAGTGATAAAAATTATAAAAACATAATTTAAAAGAATGTTAATATACTATATTTAATATAATGAAGTGAATAGGATTGTTATTCTTCATTTTGTAGGGTATGTTGCAAAAAATACCATCTAGGAAAAATACTGACATGTGCACTTGTGTGTGTGTGTGTGTGTATGTATGTGTGTGTGTGTGTGTGTGTGTGTGTAGAGAGAGAGAGAGAGAGCTCTTTGTCTCTTGGAGTTAAGTATTCTCAGGCTTGGGAGGAACCAGAAGCTTTTTAAAAATAGCCAATTAGCCGAGACCGGTTTGGCTCAATGGATAGAGCAGTGTTTTTCAACCTTTTTTGGGCAAAGGCACACTTGTTTCATAAAAAAAATCACGAGGCACACCACCATTAGAAATTGTTAAAAATTTAACTCTGTGCCTATATTGACTATATATAAAGTAATTCTCTTGAATAGGAATCAAATAAACACAAAGAAAGTATTTTATAATTACTTTATTATGAAATATTAAGTAAACAAAATAGTGAAAAATTATAAAATTCTTGTCTTGTCTGCACCTACGGCACACCAGGCAACATCTCGCGGCACACTAGTGTGCCGCGGAACAGCGGTTGAAAAACGCTGGGATAGAGCATCGGCTTGGGGACTGAAGGGTCCCAGGTTTGATTCTGGTCAAGGGCATGTACTTTGGTTGCGGATGTGCAAGAGGCAGCTGATCAATGACTCTCTCTCATCGATGTTTCTAACTCTCTATCTCTCTCCCTTCCTCTCTGTACAAAATCAATAAAATATATATATATATTTTTTAAAAATAGCCAATTAATTTCTCAGGATTTCATGCTTGCATTGGCTCCACCCCCTTAGCCAAGGATTTTTTTTTCCAGGTTAGATTGGCTGGCCTCAATGGTCCAGCATGTGCCCTTATACCACTTTGACTTCTACTGAGCATGTCTTTCTCTCCCTCCACTCCCCACTAAAAATCCAGCACCTGAGGAGGGCACGGAGGGGTGTTGATCCCCTAACAGGGACAAAGCTGGGATTCCCTTGGGTGTGAAACAGCAGCTTTCTCGTGAAACAGACACACCTTTGCTTGCCAGCTGACCAAGCGCAACCATGTCTCCTCCTTTCCTATCTTTCCCATCAATAATCAGCTAACGAAAATAACAACTTTTTGAAGAATTCTTCCATCTTTTCTAATTTTAGATATAAACATCACTAATAAGTACTTATAATTACATTATAGACTTGTTTAATGGTGCTGGTAATTACTTTTTGTAATTATTATGGTAATAACTTCATATGGTTTTTATATATCTCTATCATTAATTAATCTTGGTTGCTTTTTTTAATTACTTTTCCTCAAGATCGAACTTTATTATACGTGAGCCATGTGATTATTGACTGTCCCCTGTTGCTATTTCAGTGTAAACTTGTGTCTGCTAAATAATATTCTTAAATATTTGGAGAAATTCTTTCTTTAATTAAAAATGCCATCTACATAGTCACCATGTTAGTATAACGTTATCCTCCATTAGCCCTCTCAGGACATTATAGCTCAGAAGATGGATTCTACATTTCATATTTGTTTTTAAGAAATTTATTTCCTACCTGTGCTCTGGGGAACCAGAGTATTTCATGGCAATAGATGAGGAAGAAAAGAAAAAAAAAGCTGCAAGGACACACCTGGAAAAGCTGATGACTATTCTATTGAGATCCTCCCTAGGAACCTCCATTAGTAGGAGGACCCAGCTCTGCTCCCTCTCGTCAGCACACCAGCACTTTCCCCACCCTCCTTCCCCTCAGCACACTCTTTCTCCCTGAAGCATGGCCAAGCTTTTCACCCTCTCCTTATCCCAGGTGCTTATATCCTTGCTTTCTTTCTCTTAAGCTCCAAGGGGCCTTCTTTTGTTTCTGTGATTTGTTTCCTGAGCTCATACAGCCCAGCTGGCTCATTCCTACCTCTGTGACTTTCTAAATGAACTTTTGCTTATATTTGAGTCTTGGCTCTAAATTCTTTCTTAACCAGATCTCAAGTACAGAGGTTGCTGAACCAAGGTCCAATCACTAGTAAAATTTGCATAGTTTCTCCACCAACAAAATGGATTATGTTTCTTCTATTTCTTTGACCAAATTAGAAAGTACAAAGCTGAAGTATCTAATAAACTCCTTCCCTGGAATAGATTTTCTTTACTAATATTCCTTTTGTTTACATTATTCTTCCTGATTTTCCCTTCAACCAGTTATTATCACCTTATAAAATAAAATAGTATACAAATCTACATTCACTGTCTTCTTTACCTCTTCCTAAATTTCAAGGGCATAAAATAATCTAGGACCTAAGAACACACTACGTGGAAGTAAATGGTACAATAAACTGAGTGTGAGGGTTCTAAAAGGCCTATCACTTGGCCATGAGATCTACCAATCTTTTCATTATTAACAAGGATATTGTTTAATACTCCTGTCATCTTCAGGTTACTGAAAGACTTCCTTTTTAAAAATTTTGTTTTTTTGAGAATTCTTTTGGTCCACGCATTATTTTCTTTTTTGTAAGTCCAATCCAGGAAGGAGTACAAGAAGTGATCATTCCAGAAATCAGTTACCAAATCAAAATCTGTTCAAGTTCAGGTTGGGAACAAGTGCTATTATTTAAGGTCTAAACTCAAGGTCTAAGCCTAGGAGATCAATTCAGATGGGTCAGTAGAGAAGTAAGTGGAAGTCCAGCCCCCTAGAAACCACAGTTGGCCACCCGGCATCAGCTGGCAAAATGAGAGAAAACAAAGTGCTAATGGCTTTTCAGAGTGGAGCACTGAATGGGAATCTGTTGTAGTTGATGGGAACTGTGGTTCACAAAGGAGGAGATAAGATACTCCCTGATGTCTAGGCCCTGGGGGGAATATTGAGTTCACATTGCAGCAGCAACTGAGTCAAGAGTTTCTGACAAAGGGCTTCTTTCAGAGGCCCATCTGCCAAAGTGACACTCATCCCCAGGGGCCTTGAGTCAAGCTGAACCCACAGATGGAGGGAGGAGGTTAAGTGGAACAGCTGCCTGGGTAAAGAGGCCTGTGGGGCCAGGAAGAAAGCCAGAAACACCATATTTTCCTTAAATGACCACAATCTACAGCCTTGATCTGCTTTGTTATATTTTGCCTTTCTTGATTTGTAAAATAATGGACAAAGAATTTTATATTCTTCTTTAAAATGTGTTTATATACATGTATTAGTAGGAAAAAAGTCATATGCATTTATCCTGTATTAAACACAACGAAACTTATAAATTATATATTGCTAGAAAAATTGAATGCATTTAGCCTCAAAAGTTAACTAATATCATTAATTTTTGTCACTAATGATTTACTTTCATGATAAGATAGATATATGATAGATAAAATATAGATAGATGATAGATGATAGATAGATAGATAGATAGATAGATAGATAGATAGAAATCCTCAAGTGAGGATATTTTTTCCATTGATCTTTAGAGACAGTGGAAAGGAGGGAGGGAGAAAGAAAGAGATACATCTACTGGTTGCCTCCCTTATACACCTGACTGAGGCTGGAGATGGAACCTGCAACTGATATAAGTCCCCTTGACAATGAATCAAATCTGGATAGAACCCGGAACCTTCCATAGTAGGGCCAACATTCTAAACACTGAGCAAATCAGCCAGGCATACACACACACACACCATATATATATATATATATATATATATATATATCCAGGAAGCTAGGAAGCTACTAGCTCAAGAAATATTATTTATTTTCCAAGAAATTAAATATATCTTAAAATTAATATTTCCCTTTTTGCTTTAAATGTCTACAGTAATCTTGTGTTTATTCTGTGTGTATTAATTTCTATTAGTAAGGAAGTATAATCGTTTTCCCATGACATGTCTAACAGCTTTCCAGCTGAGAACAACCTACTTAATTCATAGCTCTTTGGTCCTAAGAGATATTAAATTCTGTACTATATATTCACTCACAGTATGATCAGACACCTACCAAGTTTTTAGCAGTAATTAATATATTACATGGAGATTGAACCTATTAACTGAACAACTTTGAATAATGCACTCCAGGTTAACTACTACTTGCGGAATCCTGTGGTATTCTTACATTTGAACCATTTCTTTGTGATGCATGCTAAGTATAATTAAAAGGTTAAAAAAGTGATTAATTCTGTCAAAGATAGAGAACTCCCTTCTAAAGCAATCTTCAATGTTCTGCAAAAATAAATTAGTTTCTTTATAATGTAGTCTTGGGTTTTTATACAGTTTCTTATTTACATGTATTATCATAGACTAATATAATATCTGCTATTGTCTTTCAACTGGGAAGCATTTATTCATTTATTGATTATTAGCTATTAATTATTTTCTCCCATCGGTCCATATCACTTTATCTTTTAATTTTTTAGAGTGCCTTGGTGCAAATTAGATCTGTTATTTCTCATTCCTTCCTAGAGTGTCATTTATCTATCTCTCTTACTGAGACTTTGTATTACTAATGACTTCTCACGGTGACTCTCTTCTTGAAATATATTTATATTCGGTTTACCCACTTCAAGTATATTAGTTGCTGATAAAGGGCCTCTAAGTAATGAGCAATTAAAAATTTTTCATATTTAGAATTATATATTGGTATAAACTGACCTAAAACAAATATCATTATGCCCACTTTATTTTAATTTGGTACTAAAAGCTTTCATGAAGACGTTCCATTACTGTAGCCTCAAAGTGGTTAGCCTTTTTTATTCTGCAGTAATTAATTAGGGTGACAAGCAATTATCTTAAGACTAGAGGTCCATTCACTGGTGGGGTCCCTCAGCACGGCCTGCAGGGGTCAGCCAGAACCAGCTCTCTGACATCCACCAAGGGGTCCCAGATTGCAAGAGGGTACAGGGCAGGCCGAAGGACCCCACAATCAGGGCTGGAGAGGGTCTGCAGGAGGGCTCCACGGCATATCTGGCCCATCTCTCCCAGTCCTGATCGGCTGGACCCCAGCAACAAGCTAACCTATAGGTCAAAGCATCTGCACCCTGGTGGGCAGTGTGCGTCATAGTGACTAGTCAAAGGGTCGAACAAATGGTCAGACACTTAGCATATTAGGATTTTATTATATAGGATATTGGGTAACCAACCAATCAATTAAGTAAGAAAATATTCAATAGGTATTTGAAGTGTTTCCTACCAATCAAGTTGATAGAAACAATAGAATAAAACTGCTAGGCCATTCAATACATACCTTTTATTTATTTATTCAATAAACATGTATTAAGCAACAACTTCACATCAGAAGTATGTCAAGCCGAGGCCGGTTTGGCTCAGTGGTAGAGCGTCAGACTGTGGACTGAAGGGTCCCAGGTTCGATTCCGGTCAGGGGCATGTGTGTTGGTTGCGGGCACATGCCTGGTAGGGGGTGTGCAAGAGGCAGCTGGTCGATGTTTCTTTCTCATCAACATTTCTAGCTCACTAGCTCTCTCCCTTCCTCTCTGTAAAAAATCAATAAAATATATATTTTTAAAAAGAAGTATGTTAAGCATTTATTATAGGATATGGAGACACAATGCTATTCCACAAGTTACCTCCAGCTTAAGTAATGCAGAAGCATCCGTTCTGTTAAAAAATAAAGAAGAACGGAGAACAGGGGGTGGGGAGAGGGAGAGATGATAAAGAAAAGGAGAGAATGGAGTTATTGGATAATGCAGAACAAATTCTGACAAACTGATTGCTTTGTGTTTGCCTGCCAAATTATAATTTCATTGGAAGATGAGTCAGCTGTTTGAAATAATAATTACAAGTCTAAACCAATTAAAAGGGGTTGCATATATAGTTATGTCAGTCCTAATTTTCTATAAGTCATGATTTCAAAACCAACATACAACTTGTTTAAAACAATGACTTTGGTTATTTTGGTTTCTTTGATCTAAAAGTAAAATATCATGAAATCAAAATATATTATGGAAAAATATAAAGGACATCTAAAAATTACATTCAGTTGGCTGTATTTTTCATTAATGCCGGAAACCAGAACTGCTGCCTTTTTTCTCATTTCTTGTGTACAGAGAACATTCTGAAAAGTGTAACTGGGAGTTTTCTCTGTGTGTGCATGAAATAAGAGGAATTAGATTACCTGAGTCTCTCCTGTAATTAATCTATAAAATATTATTTCTGAAGACAGGCCTGGGGCAGATCACCCTTTCCATTCAGGAGGAGAAAACACACTGCCAAGACCTATCTCAGACCCTCCCTGTTCTCTGCTGTCACTGATGACCACACTTTGATAGATACATTGCTTCTACTGACTGTTATGTTGGTTGGGAGATGATGTCACCTTTTGCCATTCAATGGTGGATCACATATTTCTGACCTAATTGCTTATTTATTTATTCATAATTTCATCTTCATGGGACATTTATCTTTCCCTGTTCCCAGGTATTTTGGGAGATAGTCAAGGGGAAATTGTTGTGCAGCAACTCCCAGGTTGCCTACATTCCATTTAGTAAATTTGTTTTTGGTAGTATATTTTCTTTAAAAAAAAATACTAAAATGACTCATAGTTAGATCTTGCCATCAAAGAACTCTTAGTGTTTCCCTCGCAGTGTTTCTCAATGGTTAGAGCATCAGCCTGTGCTCAGAAGGGTCTTGGGTTTGATTCCCAGTCAATGGCATATACCTTGTTGCGGGTTTGCTCCCTGTCGGTCAGTTGGAGCACATTTGGGAGGCACCCAGTTGGTGAGTCTCTCTCACATTGATGTGTCTCTCTCTCTCTTCTTCTCTCCCTCCTTCCCATTTCCTCCTCCCTTCTACTCTCTCTGGAAAAAAAAAAAAAAAAAAAAAAAAAAAAAAAAGAAGAAGAAGGAAAAACATCCTCAGGTGAGGATTAACGGGGGGGAAAAAAAAAAGAAAGAAAAAAAAGAACTCTTGGTTTATAGAAAGATATTTGCAAAAGCCCCAGCTGAGTGTCTCCATTGGTTGGAGCAGCCTCCTGTACAACAAAAAGTTGCAGGTTCGGTTCCGTATCAAGGAATCCCTAAGTTGCTAGTTTGATTCTTGGCCTGGCACATAGGGGAGGCAATGGATCAATGTTTCACATGGATGTTTCTCTCTCTGTCTCTCTCTCTGTCTCTCTCTCTCTCTCTCTCTCTCTCTCTCTCTCTCTCTCTCTCTCTCTCTCTCTCTCTATCTCTATCTCCCTTCCTCCCTTCCTCCCTCCCTCTCTCCCTCCCTCTCCTCTTCTTCTTCTCTCCATAGAATCAATAAACATATCCTTGGGTAAGGGTTTAAAAAATATATTGACAGAAAAGAATATATTATGAATGTCAATGCACAGGAGTTCACAAAAGGAAGCTGTCACTGAAAATTGTTTCACTAATACTATCATGAGATAAGACTCATACTCAAATAACTTAATAATCATAATTTATGATGTAATAATTATTAAAATGTATACTTCAGGGACACTTTTAATATGTTTTTATTTATTCCAGAGAGAAGAAGGGAGAGGGGAAAAAAAAAGACAGATGGATCAATGATGAGAGAGAATCATTGATTAGCTGCCTTCTGCACACCCCCTACTAGGGATCAAGCCTGCAATCCAGGTGCCTGCCCTGACTGGGAATGAAACTGTGAGGGTCTACGCTCCACCAGTGAACAACACTGGCCTGGCACAGGGGCATTTTAAAAGAGCTGACTTTTAAATTTTAGTAGGCATGTATGAGGTAGAAAGTTCATTTTACTATATCTCATTGGTATTTATTCTTTCAAAGAGGTTAGCATATTTCTTTCTGGACCAAATATGCTTTCTGTATATATTACATAATTATCCTCAACCACTAACAGTTATTAACTGCCTGCCAGTGTATCGTGTAAGGTTTCTTAATACAGGCTGAAAAAGTTATCCTTACTCTTTAGGGCTATGCAAAAGCTATAGAAGTTGGTGCTGAAGTAAAGAAATATGTAGGTAGCCTATCCACTGTCATCACCTGGATGAACACCAAGGTCAAGGTGCAAAACAGGGTACAGTCCCAGTGACAAGTTTATAATTCACAGTTTCTAATTAGGAGTCCAAAAGTTGATAGAGTGACATTCTTTCCTAAGTACCAGAGTACCTGGGCAAGGGGTTCTACCCTTGAAAAATCATGTGTCATTTTCATGTCTCTATGGCCAACATTTTCACATTCTTTTCAGAAAAGCATCAAAGTCAGACATTTATAAATCTCTCTGGAAGAAGTAATTTTAGAGAGATACATAAAAACCCTAATAAAGAAGTTACAGAGGTTATATCTTTACATTTCTTTTGTGATAATGAAATTCAAAGACAATGTATGCATCTGTGATATCTTTAATATGTTTTTATATGTGCATTATCCTACTAAAAACTTAGAAAATAAAATTACTATGACATTTGTACCTTTTCTGTATACAACTTGAAACTTCAAACCTGATAATAAGTAGCTCTCTAAACTTACATTAGTGTTTTCTTTTCCGTATCTTGATTTTGAGTTTCTGCAGTTTCCCCCAATTTTCCAAATTCTTGGGTTTATCATTCTTTTTTATAAAATGGATTTTACCCAAGTTTATGGGATTCCTTATTATCATAATCAAATGTTATATTATCACCCCCTTATTGTTATGTATTTGGACACATTATATTTTATTGGATACTTTGTTGTATCTTTGTCACAAAAGCCCAATTTGCCTTCAAGTTTAAGGAACTGCTTTTTTTCAAGTTTCTGAGTTCTGATTTGTAGAAAAGATCTTTGAATTAAGTTGTCTCCAAGGTCCAATACGCCTCTATGCTTTTTATGCTAAAATTAATGAGAGAGGGATAACAAAGTAAAAAAAAAAAAAAAAAAAAAGAATGAAAAGAAAAACACTGAATACATGATTGTTATGCTTAACTTTTGGTCAAAATAATTTATTATTTTACTTTATTTTAAATTCCTAGGGCTTCTATATCAACTACTTAATTTAAAATACCACATTGAAGAAACTGTTCCAGGGAAGACCGCTTTAAGTAGAAAAATATCTTAACTAAACATAACAAGTGACAAGATGAGATTATTGCTATCTATTGTAGACTGTTTACCCATAAAAATACATAATAAGGAATAATTTATATAACTATGAAGGTAAAAACCCAAAAGACTGATTCCAAAATCTCCTTCCATCCTGTCCTTTATTCTAAATCCAGTTTTCTGGATTAATATTCAGAGTTTATCCTTCACCAAAAGAGTCTAATTATGGAGGAATGATCAGATTGGTGATGAGTAATTCAACTGGGGATGAAATTCTACAGGTAATTTAATATGAGCTGCAATCAGGAATGACAATGACTTTTTAAGGCTTTTTTAACTGCTTATTTGAGTCTAACATAGCAAAGCTAACTCAGACTATCAGGCAGAAAACAAATTTCCAGTTGTCGAAAATTTTTTTCTCATTTGCGAAATATTAATATTAGTCTAGAAACTGCAGTTGACTATGAGCATATATTAAAAGCATATAGACTAGTAGAATTACTGTTTTTGAAACAGTTGCCTTTTACTCACTATTAAGCTGAATCATAAGATTACTTCCAATTTTCCAATTATTCTACCTTCACAAGGTGTTTTTGTTGTTGTTTTTTTAATTATCATGGCTAACTTTTTGGCACATATGCTCATATTAATAGACAGTTAATATTAGTTTCTCACCTAGAATCATTTTCTTATCCCCAAAGTACCTTCAAAAATCTGTTTTTTCTCTGCAATTATGAACAAAGCAATATAGTAGGATGAAAAATAATAATAGTAATAATGATGATGTAAGCTAATGTGTCTTGAATGCTTTCTGAATGCTGGGTAGTGAACTCATAGATTTGCATATCATCTTCTTTCTACCTCTTAGGAAGGTGCCATGTTTACCTCTATTTACAGACAGAGTAAACAGAGGCACAGAAAGATAATGAAACGTATCCAGGAGGAGAGATCAAGCGAAGTAAAAACATAGGTGTCTTCTGAACTCCCGTGCTCCCAAGGACACACCAATATCGAGCTACACCT